CTGAGGGCAAACTCTACTTCACTGGCAAATGTAATGTTGTGTTGAGCTGAAGACAAACTCAGTGCCTCATGCATGCCTCTGCCAAAGGGACCTCTCATTCGGCTGGGGCTAAATATAACTCCCTCAATGCCATGGGCTTCTGTGCCGTGTGGTAAACTCTCCTGGGGGGACCCAATTTGTGGGTGAATAACTTGGGAGTTCGGATATCCAATCTTCACCAAAGTTGGCAGGCGTGTTGGGGGAAAGACATAGGAAGCTCCATTGTGATTCTGGATTCTGTAAGTACCTGGGGGGAGCTTTCCTGGGGGGGGGGTCCTCTTTGTGACTATATAACCCGGGGATCCGTGATCTGTGCTCACCAAAGTTCACCAAACTTTCAGGAGTTGTAGGAAAGTGTCTGAGGAAACATCCCTGCAAATTTGGTGTCTCTGGGTCATCGGGGGCCAGTGTTATAGCCATTTAAAATGCAGATGAATCGACAGATCGATCCATCAAATAATATTCATATATTCATATTCCTTGATCCGTTAACCTTGATGAATAATGGATCAAAACAAATCACCATTTTTTAAAATTTGTCCTCTGTGGCGATCCCCCTTTGCGCCCCTTATTTCTTTGGGCTCCACAAAGGTAAACCCACCCTTTTCGCTGCCACCAGGTATTATCTTAATACCAATTCAAGTCCCCCACACAGGAGCTGCTCATATAACTTAGGAATCAGGGTTTTGATCAAATATTCTTTTATAATTGAACAAATTATAAGAAGAATCAAATATAACTGGTTCATGTGTTCATGTATAATAAATCAGATGTTTAATCACTTGTATTCAGAATTCTTGTGTACTTTAAATCAATATCTCCCATGTTTTACTTATAAGTTCATTCCTGCCTGTTACAATATGATGTAAACGGTTCAATTTTCTTTCCTAACCCCTCTAATCTATTCCTAAACCCTAACACTCTCTCAATAGCTTCTGGTCCCTGACTGTCTCTATCTCTCCCTGATTCCAACTGTCTCTAACTGTCTCTTCCAACTGTCTTAACTGTCCTTTTTTGCTGTGCCCCTCCTGCCCTAACCTCTGATTGACAGGCAGGAAAGACGTCATCTTTTGGATTCCACTACATCCCCATCTCTAAATGATGTCATCTTTTGGATTCCGCTACATCCCCATCTCTGATCAGGATGTAAGCATGGCAACATAGTAATGGGTAGGGGACAACTCTGTTAAGGGCTTCAGAGATTGTAGTAAATCCTTCTGTTTTCATTTATTTCATGCATCACATTGTACAATATAGTATCTTCCACCTTTCAAAAATCATTTTTGTCCTATAACAATAAACAAGTATACAATAATGTTTCTGGATGCAAAATTACCGTAAGTGACACTGCAGTTATTTGAATATATGATAGGGTATTTGATTTTGTTTTGAACAGCTAGATGCTATTTCTTGTGGTTTCTTTTAAAACATAATATTTCAATATGTATATCTGTACAATAAATTAACATTATGGTTTCTTGTTTGTTTTTTACTTTTTAGAAAGAAAACGCTATTCTAGAAAAAGACACCTCTAAACAAGGTGGGAATGATTGTGCTAATTTACTTTAGTTATTTCACATTTCTCATTTTCTTTATAGAAATATTGAATAGTATGAATTTTTGCTCAAAGAAGAGCAGTGTCAGTTTCTAAAAGTTCTTAGTTCTTTTTGAATGTGCAACTATTATGTCATCTTCTTATGTAGCCTCAGTTATGAAGCAAAGTTCTAGAAACACAGGTTTGTTGTTAATGTCAAGTGCAAATAGAGGAAAAGATGGCAATGTTTTTCAACATCATTGACAGAAGACTGTTTCTATAAAACAGAAATGATAACAGAATATTTGCTGATTTCATATGTTCATGCAGAGCATACCCTGCCTTCTGTTGACAGTAAATGTTTTAGACAAAACATTTCACATGGTGATTAGTATTAAACCCATTCTTCTCTCATAAACATCTGGAATCAAGTTTATTTTAAAAATCTAAAAATAGATACACAATAAATAAAACTGAAATTCTTGAGGTTTGGCTGTACAACTCCAGTTTAACTGAATATAATCTTAGCCCCAACATTTAAGATGAAGGACTCGGGACCTTAAGGTTGGGATTGAAATAGTCAAAAAGCAGTCCTCTAAAAATGTTGACTATGTAATTTATTGTGTTACTTTTAGAGGGAGAAAATGCTGAAGTTTGTGTAACAAACACTTCTGATCTAGCTGTTGCAGGCAGCCGTGACAGAACATCTGGAAGACTACTGGATAAGGTGGGAATTTTAAAAATGAATAATAATAACATGCAATCTTTTATTGCCTGGTAGCAAAAAAAGATGATAAACTGTTATTAGTATACCCGACACATACCTACAACAATGAAAATAACTCTCCCATTTCACTCATATGTTTTATATTTCTATAGAAGACTTTCCATTCTCTCTCTCTCTCTCTCTCTCTCTCTCTTTCTTTCTTTCTCTGTCTTTGGTGTATTTATTGCTTTAAAAATATAGTAGATCCAGAATCTGCCTTCTTTGAGTGAAGGACCTCTATTCAAGGAAGGTTCCCCGTCCACTTTTTGGGAATTCCTCTGCACAGCAGGTTAGCTTAACCTTTTAAGATGAACTCTATGAAATCAGAAATTATTAGAAATAAGAACAATAAATATAAAATTATGCTTCTCAACAGGTATTTTTATCCTGTCATTCACCTCCCACCTCGTTAGAACTAGAAAATTTGTGTCAAATAGCTAAGAGCCACTATCAACATAAAAAGGCTGAAAAGTTGCATCAAATTCCGCTTCCATTATCAGCTTACCAGGCAACCGTGTTTTCCCCAAAATAAGACAGGGTCTTATATTAATTTTGGCTCCAAAACACACATTAGGGCTTATTTTCAGGGGATGTTTATTTTACAGCTGTGTCATCTTCTGGTTGCTGCACAATGGTGGAGGGCGGTTTTCACTTAACTAGGGTTTATTTTGGGGGTAGGGTTTATATTACGAGCATCCTGAAAAACCATACTAGGGCTTATTTTCAGGTTAGGTCTTATTTTCGGGGAAACAGGGTAGGATCTTCTGGCTGAGAATCCTTTAGTGTATGCCTCTTCCAAGGCATCTCACTCAATTAGTACCACAAAGGAAGGAGAATGGGAGCAAGGTACCCAAAAAGCCCCCTCAGTAGGTGGCTTCAAGAGTGAGTATTTTTCGCCAACATTATTGGAAGGCCACTGCAAACCTTCCTACTTAAGATGAAGGGGTTGTGCATAAACACATGGGCCCAACATTCTTGCATGAGTTGCTATCAGATATAAGCCGTGAATAGGGTTTCTTTCACTGAAGAGTCCTGAGGAATTTAGCAAGATTGGCCATGTCTCCCTTAGAGAGTTCCTGTTTGAAATATTATACCTGACTTTCTAATACTAGGCAAGTGCGTCAAGAACAAATAATGTTTATGTGTGATATGCACAACTAAATGCAACCCACACGTGTCATGAACCAACTTATGGGGGATTTTAACCATCTCTTTTTCATGGGATCTTGCACACTCTGACTAAAATCTGTTCATTTTGCTTATACCAGAGAGTTAATATGCTGCCGTCAGGATAGAATAAATTAATTCTTCTCTTAAGACAGGGCCTTCAAGACCAATCTGAAGACATGGCTATACAGGCAGGCCTTCCATACAGCCATCACCTAACCTATTTTCTTTTTCCCTCTTTTTCTTTTTCCATCTTGAACACTGTGATTAATTCGGATTTTACCTTTAGTTTATTTTTTATGCTTTATGTAAACCACCCATAGTAGATACGTTCTAGATGGGCTGTCATAGTAGATACGTTCTAGATGGGCTGTATATTAC